CCGACAGTGCTGATACTCCTCTGAACAGCTGCAAGTTCCTCCAGCTTTTAGAAATGGTAATGCACTTTTGATTTGGCCAGAAAATCTCTTTTTCTTTCTGCAGGTGTGAACAGAGCTGGCCAGGTGTTTAGCTGAATCGTAACCCATTTTAACTGCACTAAGCATTAATTCTTTGCAGAGTATGTGCTTCCTCTCTGCTGGTTGAGCAATGTTCAGCTAACATTTTTGTAACTTCTGAACACACAAAGACCCATGCTGCTTGTAAGAGTACCTGCTGATAATTGTCCTTTGTACAAAGAGAGAGTATATGAGCATGTAAATGGGTTTAGTGTGTGTCACTCGTTGCTAGCTCTTGGCCAAGACTACCCGTGATTACAGTCATCTGTTTTGGACTGGATGGTGTCTAGTCAGGGCTGAGGGATGCAATTCTATTTTGTTTTTCACAAACAGTTGCCTGCAAGGGAACGTTTCTTCTTTAATTTGAAAGATCTCTCCCTTGCTCCTGAATCTGCTGCTTCCACTTCCATATTCTCTATGTAACAAATAGCATAAAGCTCCACAATGTATTTGTCCCAAAAGTGAGCCCTCTGACAGATGAATTACTGCGTTAAGGCACAGTAAAACCTGGCCTTCGCCCTTCCCCTCTCTTTGGAGATGACAGCTATTGCTGTGATTTACCTGCAGCTTCTCCAGGGTTTTTCCCTATGAGAAGGGAGAGAACACCTGCGCAGGGGGCAGCTGGTCTGGGCCCTCTCCTCTGACTTAGGCAAAGCAATGGTGCTTTGGGGATTCACTGATATTGAGGACACTTTTTGGCTATAGTCTGTCAGGCAAGTGACTTGCATGGAAAATGATGATGTGGAGAACAAGGAGGTGATTTGTTGTAGCTATGGGAGGCTTAGAAAAAGGGGTGACAAGGCTATGGGGTTCAGCAGCATTTTGTCTGCTGCCCTGTGTCATATGGGGCCAAGCTGGACTGGGCTTTGAGCAACCTGGTCTAGTGGAAGGTGTCTCTGCCCGTGGCTGGAGACATGGAAATAGATGATCTTTAAGGTCCCTTCCAACTCAAACCATTCTACGACCTATCTGTGACAGGCATTGATGAGGGTGGGCTGCAGCAGGGCTGAAAGCACATCAGTTATTCCGTCGGTCATGCTGGCTACTACCTCCTCACCCTGCCAGCCAGGACTCTGGGTGACCAGGAGCAAGGATACAGGACAGAGGAAGCCAGCAGTGTTTTGAGGATTGTATCACAGATAAAATGGGGCAGAACAGGAGGCAGAAGCAAGAAACTCACCATGTGCATCTGGAGCACAGATGGCTCAGAGCAGAGGGGCTTGGGGGCCCCTGATATCACCTCACTTCCAGCAAACTGAGCTTTGCCATGTCACTAACTACCAACTTACACATGTCCATGCATGTCAGAGAAAATACATCCTTCTGTTTTCTTCTGCCCCCACGCTCCCAGAGCTGTGGTCTGGCAACAGGCACGCAGGACCAGGATGGGGAGCAAAGTACAAGGCAACACCGGAGGGGTCTGCTCCTCATGGGTCCCTCCTCATTCTCCCAGCTCTGCAGCAGCAAGCAACCGTGGGGTTTCCCTTCCCCAGGGCTCCCAACTGCCCATCAAGAGCTGAGACAAAGACAAGAGGCTGCAGGGAGGCAAGGTGCAAGAGAGGGGAGGCTAGAGCTGATCCTGTGAGCCTGCACCTCCCACCATGGGGCAGGCACACCACAGTCCACTTTGAAGCATCTTCAGTGTCCACAATGCACAACTAACTTCTGTGGCTATGTGCCTCTCAGCAGGACACCCCCAGGGAGAAATGTGGCTGCAAGCCCAGCCACCAGCTTTCAGTATTTGCTTAGTGCAGAGGTGATGTTATCTGGAAAATAATTGCTGTCCCCTTTTGCTAGCTGAGGGTTGTGTTTCCAAATAGCATGTGACAGGAGTTACTCAGGACAGCTGCCCTCAGTCACCCGTGCTGCAGCAGGGCTGATGACCAGCCAGTGTCCACAGCATGAGGTGGGTGATATTGGCATGTTCCCATCACGTCCCCATCACTGCCCAGGGAGCTGGTCTGCAAACCTGCTTCTGCTGTCTTGCCACACTGCTGAGGTGGGGAGACTTCCATGGGAACCACTTGCTAATGTAGGACCAGCTAATTCAGTTACTCTGTCCTGAGAAACTGTAGATTTCATACTTGACACCACATGCAGGCTTCATGCTGGAAGGGGTTACCCTTCAAGCAGGAGGCAATCTTTAAGCCAGCCTACAGGAAATAGGGTGCAGGACTCCTTAATGAAACACGTTTCCATGTGTACACTGCGGTAGCTAAAGGGATGGAAAAAGAAATCCCACTAACTCTTCATAAAGAAAGATGTGAGAAAAGGACTGCCCTTTTTTAGAACCTTCTCTTTGTGCCATTTTCTGTAGTAATACAAAAATCAAAATGTAAAGCCTGTTGCATTGGTATTAATACAGAAAAAGCAAAGTCAGTGCCATAACGTACTGAGTACACTGTGGCCTGTTCCCAAGGACACAGCTGCTCCATCAAGGCTTTTTCTTTTTCTTTTAAAAGAAAAAAACACACAGTAAGAAAACAATGACCTTGTAAACTAAGACCTGGTGAGAATACAGCTCCTGAAGCTCTGTGTTGTTAACATTGACCTCATCTGAACAATTATCTTATTCCTACAAGAGTTCCTTGATTGAGATAGGTTTGTGAAAGTAAATAAATCTGCAGGTCTGCATCTTTATGCTGGTTTCTGTGAAGTCCTGTGCTGACATCAAGTGGTGACTCATTTTTCATTCCGAAGGGAGCCTGACTTATGGTACTGCATAGGGACAGCATGATATTTGCTATCACGGGAAGGGAAAGGTGAGTATGCACAGGCCACAGAGGGACTACAGCAACAGCCTCACTGGCAGGTGATCCTGTGGGGATGGACAGCCAAAGGAGTATGGAAAAGCAATGCAGCCACTGTGCAAGGCAAAGAGGGTAAGCTGAGCCTCTGCAGCGGTGCTGGGGCACACGAGGTGCTGGCTGAGCCTCCCCAGCAGCCACCAGATGTGAGCCCTGGCAACAGCCCTCCTTTTCCTGAGCTAAGAAATGCATGGCTGGGACAGCTACAATGGGGTCTGGTGGCCTCAGGGGAGTGAGGAAGGCATGGAGAACTCATTTACTATAGAAAGCATGACACTCAGTTAACCAAAAAGGACGGGAGGCTTTATTAATTAGTTCTGCAGAAACATCAAAGAGGGAAAGATAAATATGCACAGCTATGAACTGGCTGTGAATAAAATCAAGCTTCATATTAGGAGGGTTTTAACTTGGAGTAAACTTCTGGAACAACATCCCTGTGGAGACTGCAGGAAAACCCTCCCACAATGCAGTTTTAATGAGGAAGTTAATTATTTGCTGAAGGCATTAGGGTCCATGATATGAGCTGTAACATCAGCCACAGGTTAGCAGAGGCTGGCCTTGGCTAGGCATGCAGTCTGCTTCTCCCACCCTCATCAGCAATCACTGAAGCTGGTTTCAAAAGCTGCAATTGATGGGAAAAGAAGGTTTATATGTGGGTTTCCTGGTGAATGCTCAGATCAATTACACTTTGTTTAAAGAACTGCATACTCAAATAATAGCTGGGAATGTATGACATGAAAACACAGAATGGTCTCTATGTTTCTAACTCGGATTGAAAAAACCCACCACTCTTTCTCTCACTGGTTGGTGCTCTGACTGTAGAAATGGTTTCCTGCTCTTTCCAAGAGCCTTCCTGTGCTGGGAGCCAAAAAAAAAAAAAGCCCTGCAAAACCATTGCCGTTGCATGCTGTTGTGGTTTAACACCAGCTGGCAATGAAGTACCACTCGGCTATTCGCTTTCCAGTGGGATGGTGAAGAGTCAGGAAAAAGGTAAAAACCGTAGGTTGAGATAAGAACAGTTTAATAACTAAAATTAGGTATAATATAAAGGAAACAATGAGAGAGGTATAAGACGAACAAACAAAAACCAATAAAGAAGAGTGGTGCACAGTACAATTGCTCACCAACTGACACACAGCCCAGCCCGAGCAGCCTGGTCCCTTCTGGGTGACTACCCCCAGTTTCTATACTGGGCATGCCGTGCTGGGTTATGGAATACCCCTTTGTCTGGTTTGGGTCAGGTGTCCTGTCTCTGCTTCCTCCTGGCTTCCTGTGCCCCTCCTCACTGCAGAGCATGAGAGACTGAAAAGTCCTTGACTTAGGGCAAGCACTACTTAACAACAACTAAAACATCAGTGTGCTACCAACATTGCTCTCAGACCAAAGGCAAAACACTGCACCAGATACTAGGAAGAAAAATAACTCTATTCCAGCCAAAACCAGATGTATGTCAGTGGGTTACTCCTTCCTCTCATCCTTGGCCAGGCAGGAGGCTGGCCCTGCCTGCTGCATATAAGGCTCCGATCCTCTCTGTACTTACAACTCCTATCCCAGGCTCTGCGTGTCCGTATGTGGCCAGAATCCTGAAGTCAGGAAGAGTTTCCCATGCTTTCCTTCATGGCTGAGCAATACAAACCTAACAGCGAAAAAGAAAAATGCCATATCTGGTCAGATACATCTCTAGGGGGGAAATCCCTTGGTTGCTTGGTTCCTCCAAACGCTGATGGGATTTGAGTGGTGCACCTCAGCCTTGGTAGATGTTTTCTGGGGACAGTGCATGAAAGATTCAAGCCATCAAATTGATCCCTGCGGTCATCATCCAGCTTGTACTTTGATATGGTACAAAGTACATTCTTACTGTTGATCTCTTGAGGTTTTATGTTACGGTAAGTGATAGCTTGAGGGTGGGAGGAATACCCAACTCTTGGAGCAGCTCTCCGCAGAGCTGTCAAACCTGCTCCACCTTCAGCAAGTGCATTATGAGTAGGGGCAGGTTTGCTTTTGGTTTGTTTTCCCATGTTTTTTCCATGCGCTGACCTTGCAGTCAGGCTTTGCCCTGAGAGGTTTTGTTTTCTCATGAGCAGATGGACTTTAAACTTCAACATCTCTCATGTAGCCATCTCCCCCAGACCTGCAGGAATGCAGGCAGGCAGCCATTAGGCTCAGAGGGTGACAATGGCAAGGTGCTCTTGGACAATATTGTTTCTTCTCTCTGCCTTTTTCCTTCAGACAGAGCAGACAGGTATGGCCTTTGTTTTATTGCGGCTTTAATTCTGATTTGTGCTACTGCTGCTCTAAAAACACCAGTAATTTTGTACCTTGTAGCATGCTTACTTTGTAGCACAGGCTGACACCACTGAAAACTGTCTGTTCCTTATTTTCCTTACATTTCTTCTGTTTATTTCATACAGCTGAGTAAAAATGGCAGTAGGTTACTGAGGCAATATGATTTTGAAGTAACATCCTTTACACCAGGCTAGCATTCTGTCTTCTCACTTTTAAAGAGTGTCCCAGATATTAAAGAGAATTTTGTGTTATATTTCTAGTTGCTGCTGAAATACAAATAAAAGAGTCCAGTAAAAGAGGCTGAGATGTATGCTTGTTATAGCTTGAATAAATTTATGTTTCTGTATTAATCCTCCATGGTTTGTCAAAAATAAGGAGGAGATGGGCAAGAAGGGAAAAGATGGTGACAGCTTAAGAAGGTCAAAACGTCCCTGGCAGCAGCAGAAGTGCTCTGCCAGTTATGCTGGATACACTGGGACCACTGTATGGCAGTGGGGTATCAGATAAGGCTTTCAAATGTAAAACACCATCATGGAGCTTTTCCTTTTTGATTTCTTCATATCATATGCAAGCCTGTTGCTCATCAGGTATCCTTCAAAAGCATCTGTATGCAGATTCAGAATAATTTTGTTACTGCTGTCACTTTTTCCACTTCTAATATTGATCATTTCAATCTTTGTGCCCAGCAGCACTGGGCCCCCAAACGCTGCATGAAACACAAACAAAACAAAACCAAAAACCAAACAATCCTGCCCCAATGCATTTACTCTCCAAGCCCAGAACTAACAAACATGTGCTGACACACACAGCCACATAACTGTTTAGTGTCAAAGGCAATAGGGTCCAGCACGGCTGCAGCTGTGTGGCTGCCAGGCAGATTTTGTTGTGGGCATCACTGCAAAGAGGAGGTTTGAGATCTGATAACTTTCATGTCTTTGATCTCTCCTCTTTAATCAAATAAAAAACTTTATTGTGTCTTCCATGTAAAGGGTGGCATATGGTAAAGCTCTTAACTTCGAGCACTGATGAGGGGCAGCTTTTACTTACTGTCCTTAAGACAGATTTGATTGAGAACTCAACTATGTCATGGTTTTGCTTCTCAGCAACAACCCCCCCCCCCCATGAACTAAGACTGAAAGGCACCAGTTGGAATCCATCATCATAAAGTAATACAAGTCATTCTCACTTCTACTGGCGAGTCTGAAAGCCCCATCCAGTCATATAAAATAGCCTCTGCCTTTACGGTAATACTTTTCCCCTTTCCCTGGCCATGCCACAGCAATGCTGGTCTGTGTGTCTGGTGCAGGAAGAAAAGGTTTTGGGAAGGGCTTCAAACTCTCCCAGCTTGGGTGCAAGTCAGACACTCCCCAAAAGTAAAAGGTGACAGATCCCCAGGTGAATTTGGGATAAGAAAGCAAGGCTTTTTCAATACATGAGTTTAATAAGGCTGAAACCCTAACTCTTAAAAGAAAGGTAAAAGTATACAAGGAAATGAATCAAAGTATTTACATCAGCATTTTGTTATACAATGTTCCAGTGTTTATATCAGCTGTTGATGCAAACACTGTTATCAAGAGACAGAGGCGTGCCAGTTCCCTACATTTGGAGGAGATCCTTCAAGGCAACTTGGAAAGGGAATGCCTTGAAGAGAGATGTACACATGAAGAAGCAAGAGAAGTGTTTGAAAATGATGAAATGCTTGTAAGTACTTTGTTTTCCTGTCTGCATAATAAAAATTACTGCCTTGGTCCTTTACTATCAAATACAGCTCCATTGACTGCTTCATTTGTTTGATCTTTGAACCCCAGCAGGTATAAAGTATGTGTCTTCAATGGTTAAAATGGAAATGCAAAGATTAGCTCTGATATTTTTCAAGTCACCTCCTGAAAAATTATGCGTCCTGGACCTTACATTGAAAAATCTATGGCTGTTGTCTCATCCTGATCATGCATAGAAATACAGCTTTAGCATCCCTTAGGGACCAGGAGAGGCAAGGAGGTGTTAGCATGGAGGGAAACAAGGCACCAGTGAATAGTGGGACATATAGATAGAAGTTCACTGGGTCAGCGGATGCAAATCCCCTGATACAAGAGGCTCTCCTGACACACAGAGGTGGACGCTGTACTCTATAACAGAAGCCTGGCCAGAGGTTGTGTTTGCAGGGAAAGCAGAGGTGACAGCCACAGGCATGCCCATGGGTGGTCCCTCTGTTCTGGGGAAGGTTGATTGTGGGGAGGTACAGGGAGTGGAGAGAGGTGTCCCTTTGGGGAAAGCAGCAACAAAGCTGGCTGCAGTACCCATAGAAAAGCAGGACACATTGTGCTGGTAACCCACAGCTCTGCTCTCTGCTGACACCTCTGCCTACAGCAGCACCTGCTGGGGGCCAAGCGGGATGGGATGGGACAGGATGGATGGGGTCACTTCCCAGGCCAAAGAGACAATGGCCAGCTATTTTTTCCAGGAAGCTGTACTGCTGAAGGATTCAGCTGTTCGACTCTTGCTTATGAAGTTTGTTTTCCTTTAGAGCTTCTTAAACAATACAATAAGCAGGATGCAAACCCCTCCCATCTTATTCAAATTTTGCTGGCAGGGCAGAATTTGTAGCTGTGCAGCTGTGTACATGTTAAACCACAGTATATATTCTCTCATATAATCTTTTTGTTTATCAAAATATTTATGGGAGATTACACTATTTTTGAATTAAAATCTAATTTATTTTCTTTTTTTCCCTCCCAGAAAATGTTTTGGGATGCCTACTATGGTAAGACAGTCTCTTGATTTCTCTCCTTTGTAGCACTGTCACACTATGAACATTCAGTCCAATGCTGCTTTTCAGAGAGTTTTTAGCTGTTTATTCTACAAGTAACATCCAGTCACTTTTTGTCATGTCTGGAGTAAAGCAGGAGGAAAGGTTTTGATGTGAATGGATTTAAAAAGTAGTAAACAAGAAGAAAAACTTAAGACTGCAAAGTGAATAAAAGTTGAAAGTGAGCAGATTGTTATCATGGTAAATAGGCTATTTCCTGAACTTATAGCTGCTCTGAAACAACCTGGGACCTGAGAAAGTCTTCTTTGCTGATACAATAGAGCAGCACAGCTCTATCAGCAAAACCTCTCTAATACAAACCTAGCACTGAAACCTGAGTGGGATAAAGAGGCGTTAAAAACTACTGGGCTGCCTGCAAACTCAGGATGCTGGCATTACATTGTCCACTAGCAGTTGACAAGACAAGAAACAAATCTGTAATAGGTCTACAATGTGATGGTAACTCATCCCTCTCCTGTGGTGTTGCTCCAGGTGGCAGGAGGTGCTCATCGAGCCCTTGCCAGCATAATGGTGTGTGTGAGGACAACATCCGTGGGTACACCTGCACCTGTGCCGAGGGCTACGAGGGAGAGAACTGCGCTTTCGGTAAGGCATCACCCCCCTTCTGAGAAGCCCTATCTCCTCCTGTCTTAGGGGGTCCCTGGGAAATGTACACAGCTCTCTGATTAGGGCCAGTTATCAGATTTCAGGTTAAAGCCCACCATTCTTGGCAGAACAGGGGTGATGTGTGCTGCCTGCCCACTGAAATGTTATGGTGTCCCGAGGCTTTGCAGGCTGCCTCTTCCCCCTGAGCCTCCCTGCTCTGGGGTCCAAAGGTGGGTTCCAAAGGCAGCCCTGCCACTGCCACCTGCACTCCCTGGCTGCTTCTCTCACCAAGGTCCAGGCAGTGTGTGTCCTGAAGAAGCAGGGTTGCAGTGCCAGAGTGCCTGGGAAGCCACCCCTGTGACTCCAAGGCCACACATACCCACAAGGCAATCCCTCAGGACAGAGGGACTCCAGAACTGTTTTCAGTGAAGTGTAAAAGGCGTAAAGCAAACCGGATGCTTCTGGGCACATAAAACACCCTGGGCCAGATCCTACATTTTCACATCTGCTAGGTTCTACCTTCCAGCCCTTACATCAGTAGTTCTGCTGGCTCAGAGGTCTCCTGGGGTGGGAGACGCCCTGGCTGGGGCAAAGCAGGGTCATTTTCTGTATAAGGGTGTGACTATGACCAGCTTCTGAAGGAGCACCAAAGATGACACAGCTGGAACCAGTGCTGGGAACTGGATCTGCTCAGCAGGAGCTACCATATGTGAGGTTTGTCACTACTTCTCCACCTGTGAGCTAGATCCACCATTAAATGGCTATTCCTCCTGTTGCTTTGTGCTGAAGCTGAAGCTTTTGCTCAGCTATGGAAAATTGACCGAGTATGTTCCTTTTTCTTGTCTTTAGCAGCTGCTAAGTTTCTTAGCACAAGTGTGAGAATAAGATCTAAGCATCTGATTTTGTTGCAAAGCAGAAAGCTTAAGCCTTCTTCCTCAAGCAATACCTGCCTTCCTAACGTGCACAACAGTTCTCCCCATTCAAATGCTTAGTATTTTGTTTAAGAGAGCAGAAAGAAAACCTGTGGCATCCTTCCATGGGCTCACACAGAAGGCCTTCTTTGACCCTCAGCTAACACCCCCCAAAACTCAGAGGCACAGACAGCCTGGTGCAAGATGGTGCTGGATGAGCATGGTTTGCAAAGTCTGTGGATGCTGCAGGCTCAAATGTCTCCAATTTCTGCTTAAACAATGCGGTGTGAAATACTACCAAGGCAGAGTCCCTACCCACCTCCCCATAAAGCAAGTAAAAAAAAGAATGCCAAGAAAAGATGACTCAAGATATGCAAGAATACTCCAGCTGAACGGTTCCAAATGTTTTTCCCTGACTTGTTCTGTTTAGCTAAAAATGAATGTCACCACCAAGCAAAGGAAGGATGTCACCACTTCTGCTACCCAGGAAGTAATTCCTACCGTTGTTCCTGTGCAGATGGCTATGAGCTCGGGAAGGACAAAAAACAGTGCATTGCATTAGGTAGGTGTGAGCACGGAAGTACGGGAGGTACATGCTCAGTGCTGTGGTGGGCAGACTTCCATCGGGTATCCAGATGTGATCAGCCTGCTTTGAGACTGAAGCAATGAGCATATTACCTTCCAAACTGCACAGAAGAAGGAGGAATGTAGGAATGACCACCAAAATGCCAGAACAGTGGTAAAAGATGCAATCTTTGATCCGAACATTTTAACATGGGTCCACAGAGAGGACTTGCATTATCCTACATATCACTCACTGGGCCAGGTTTTCTACCTGGTAAAGAGTAACTCTGCTAAAGAGCAGTCTGTTTGGGAATGAGGCTCAATTCATTCTGATCAGGCACTTGATGATGGGCAACATCTGCTGCCATATTCATTAGCTTGAACCAGTAGCCCTCTCAATTTTTTCAGGCTCATACTAGGTATATCTCATGCTATATCATCTTATAAACTAGGTCTACTAAAAACACAGTAGTAAACTTTAACCTGTCTCTATTTTAGCAAGTAGGTCACGTATTAATTGTCTCAAAATGATACAGCATGAGGTGTTTTCTTTTTTAATTCATTTCTAGATCAATGTGCATGTGGCAGACTTCAAGACAGTGATAATGTGATACATGGAACCAGGAAGAAAAGTGATGAGCAGTTTCCCTGGCAGGTATTTCTAGCAATTCATGAATCCCAACACTCAATCTCAGATGAACAGCGCTGTCTGTTGTCCGCTTGCATTTTCTTAGGTCCTGCTGCTGAACTCCGAAGGGAAGGGCTTCTGTGGAGGAGTGCTGCTAAAAAGTAACTTTGTGTTGACTACAGCAGAGTGTGCCCTTTTGCACAGCCACTTTGAAGTCAGGGTTGGCACTGGTAAGCGATCCAACACATTTTCTCCTGTTGCAGCACATTTTAGTATTGTCAAGCTCAATTTAAAAAAAGCTTACTAAAATTTCTACTGTATAAAAATATTAAATGGGATGACAGTAGATTTGTTTCCTTCAAGCATCTGAGTGAAGTATCTTGAGCTAGAGCTACAGCTGCTCCATATGCCCCTATAAGTCAAGCAGAGAGGCAACTGCCTCTTGAATGCAATTCAGAACTCAGCACCTAGGGATAAGACAAATGAGAGGGATTTAGAGGTGGCTTTTATTTCATACCAAAACTTACTTCTCTTGTTGGGATTCTGTTCTTCCTGCTGAAATTATGCATGCTTCTACACAGCACTAAAAAGCTGCCAGGGTATCATCCCTATTTTACTGCAGTGGTTTCAAGGAAGAGCACCTTTAGTCTCTCTACTGCATGTATTTCTTGGTCAGTTTGCATGCAGTCTTCAGATCTCATAAATTATTCCTGAGTGCAGTCAAATGTCATTGCTTCACAGGGTCTAATGGAACAAGTGGAACTGAGAAGATAATGCAAGTTCATGAGAAACACATACACATCCGCTACGATGAAGACACTGGTGAGAATGATATTGCATTACTACAACTCCAAGAGCATGTTGAGTGCAACAACCATCAGCTGCCTGTATGCACCCCTGAAAGAGACTTTGCAGAACACATTTTAATTCCAAAACTGCCTGGTACAGTCAGTGGCTGGAGAATGGAAGGTGATGAACTTCATGGTGATAAGTTACAGGTTTCATATCTTCCTGCTGAGGACTGCAAACAAAGACTCAACATAAGCCTCACAAACAGGCAGTTTTGTGGACACCTTCAGGAGGCTGTAGACAAACAATTAGCTGGAGGAAGCTTTCTGGCTACCAAGTATAAGGACACTTGGTTTCTGACTGGTATCCTGGGATCTTGGCCACTTGAAGACACTGACTGGGAAACATTCTTATTCACTAACACTGCAAGGTATATGATATGGTTTAAACAAAAAATGAACTAAGATACAAACACAACCAACCCTCCAGCACCAAACCCCCTCCAATCACTGAAAGGAAACATCTGGATGGAGCCAGTATGCCCATTTGACTCTATCACTATTTGCAGCAATGGAAGTTGCAATGATGCTATGCTAACTCCAATTCACAGAGAAAAGCCCGTCTGTCTTTCCTCCATCAGCTGACACACAGGACTGTGAAAGTCATAATGCAGTAAAACTAGTTATTTCACTAAAAACTGACTCAAGTTTCCTAGAACTGTTAATCTTAAAACTCAAAAAGCATTGATGTTTTTCTGGGATTTTAAATGTTGCTAGAAGTAAATGAGTTTCTCTAATTGCTGTTACCCTGAGGTTTGAGTTGGCAAATTCAATGTCAGCATCTATACAAGTAAAATTTATGAGGACAAGGGGAACTCCAAGCCTTTAAATGCCTATGTTAATGCAAGACTTGACACTATCATCACACTAAAAAAAATGCTCCCCCTCTTACACGGTGCCTGGGCTTTCCCTTATGAATCAAGTCCACGTCAGTTAGTGGGTAAAATAAAGCCCAACTCTCACAGAATTGGGAAAACAAAAAAAAAAGAACCCAAACAAAAAACCTCCAAAAAACCCAAAACTGCTTTATTTCCTATAAAAATAATATAAAAAGACCCAAAACTATTGTCCCATCACTATGGTTATGTTGTACCACACCCAAAACAAACAAACAAAACCCTCAAAACAGTAACACTTCAGAGAATGGATCCAGTGCTAATGTTGACCCCAGAAGCAGAATAAACAAACATATGGATAAGTTACTTAGACAAGCTTTTGTTCATCATAACAAAAATTAAATATTACCAGAATTAAAATAAAAACAACCAACAAACCCATCTGTGGGCACATACAGAAAAAAAAAACATAATCCCACATTTACTTGATCCCGTAAGTATCACTGACACAGCAAAGCTTTTGGTGTCAAGCACATCCCTAGTGTTTAGAGAAAGCTTGAAGAGAGTAGTTAATACCAGCAAGATACTGAAGAGGCTTAAAAAAAAAAAAAGGGGGGGGGGGGGGAACCAGGAAAGAAAATATAATTTCCATTCTAAAGAATGGATTAACACAAGTAAAAAAAGATGATACCTCTCCTCTCTGAACAATAAATGCAGAAATAGGAACACAAAGTTCTTTATGAAAGCTTTTAAGTAGTTTGGAAGGGATCTGGAATGTTTTGCTTTATTTACTCATTAAATACTTTGAATTATCAGAAAGCCTGCAGAAACGATTATTAAAAACTTAGTATTTCACTGCAATGCACTTTGTAACACTGGCAGCCTTGGTTATTCTGGGAAAGGAGCCACAAACAGTTCCTGGTATTCCAGTCCTGGACAGGAACCAGGTCATTTGCAGTGTTCTCAGTGTGATTAGGAGCAGTTCTACGGGTCAAGCCAAGCATCTTAAAAGTACTTGCATGGGTAAGATGCAATACTCAGCACACTGTTGACAGTGGAGGAAATGGATTCTGCTTGCTGACCACGAGCTTTTGATGCTGATGAGATATATAGCCTTTAATGTGACCCTGGCAGAAGGCAAAAAAAGACAGCATTACTACTGGTAACACAATGCTCATAACACAATGCCTACAATCTCCACTGTCTTCAGACTATGTCAAAGCTATGTGTGTATACTCAATTACCACTAAACTACTGTACTTAGTATCTGTAAGAATCTGATTTACCAGAACCGTAACTGTTTGTGCACCAACAGTGCTGTCAGACTGAGAACCTGTTCTCAGGGCCCCCTACTGGTCTACTGACATTTCCTTGAAGAGAGCTCTACAGAAGTTTCTAAACTTACACTTCCTCACTTTAAAGTGAGGATTTTAATTCATCACATAGTGCATATGTGATGATATAGTACTTCCTTTTCAGACATAGTGTTATAACACTGAAAGAAATCTTCCAGTGACCTAATCCCACCCTCTGCTATTCCTCAACCACACCAAATAATCTGTTTCAGAAACAGAGAAGTGGTTAATTTTCTTGCTGACACAGTAATGCTGCTCCAAAACCTCAGATTTACTAGAAATCTCTAGGTTACCAGTCTTTATCTGTTCATGAGTAGTTGATATCCACTTAAAGACAAAATGTGAAGCAAACCCAACAAAATCTGGTTTTAATTTTTAATAATGTTAGAGTGTCAAAAGTCTTCTACTTCAAATGCAGAAACATCCCGTTGGTCCCAGTTACTTTTTTTTTTTTTTTTTGTATTTTTAAATCAGTATTTATGCATGCATAGAAATGACAGTACTGGATTTGTAATGTAAAATTCAACTTCAATTTTAACTGATTCCTGCAAAAGAAGCATGAACTAGAAGAAGCCTCAGGGCAAATGAAAACGTTTAACTTTGGGCATAAGTGAATCAATATCTTTTTATTTTTATTTTTTTTTACACAAGAAAACCTGGCATTACTGATAACTTTTTTGTACTAAACTTTCATTCTCTACCTAGTATTTTTTACTGTCTGAAATCTGGAAGGACCAGCTAACAAGCAGTCAGCACTTACCATATATATAAGGTTAGCTAAAATGCACTGGACTTCATCAATATCAACATCATCTACTTCCATGAATTTCAGGGCACACAGAAAGGCATCTAGAGACAGCTGATGGGTTTTGAGTAGTAAATATCTGAAAGAAACAACAGGAAAAAATGCCTGTCATTGAGAAACAATCACTTAAAAATCTGGTTCTTAAAAAAATGGCCTTTCTACAATAAATTCATTTTAACAGGAATTCAGCTCTGTCAGAGAGAACTAAGCAGCATACACATTTCTGTCTCAGTCCCAGGTGAAACCATATTAAACCTGCTTTTGAAAAAAAAGAAAGAAAAAGAAGGCTTTGTTATGCTTACACTTTCTTAAAAAGATTTCTGTATGTGATGATTTTCAGCTTCTCAAGGATAAGAAAGATTCCACATCGAATAAAGAAGGTCTCATGCTTTGTCAGAGCTTCATTGAGCAGGAGAAGATTGCCTTCACTGCAAGGATGAAGAAAGGAAAACATGAGAAGGTGTCACCGAAATGAGAGCAGAAATTGTGTGACTTGGTAGGTATATCCCTTTCCACCCTTCTCAATTGTCCCAAATAAATAAATACCTCTTACTTAATACTTTTTAACTAACACGCAACGCAACAAAACAATCATCATACCTTACAGCCTTTCTTACTTCAGTAAACTGCAGAAGGTCATACTTTTTTAGGAGCTGAACTGTTGGCATATGGCCCTGAAAAATAAGTTTCCAAGTTTTCCAGGGTGAAGTCAAATGCATTTTAAATGTAATCTAGTAAGCTATGAAAACAAACTTTAAAGAAAAAGACAAATGTTTAGCCACTTTTTTCTTCTACAGAATAAGAGGTGAATAAAAGTCTGTGTAAGACAACCCCCTTGCCCTCACCAACCCCCTTATAGTTCAACTCGCTATAACTACCCATTTATCACGGTTTAGGGAGTCTTCATATTTTTTAATGTTGGGGAACTGTTATTAAATTTATAAAATCAAGACCCTGTGACACGAGGTCTAGACAGATCCAAATTTTATGCCATGGCTGTATGATCTAATCTGCAAACAGAAGAACCATGATAATTCCAAGCACTGCTAATAATACAAGCAGTGCTGCAGCACTGTCAAGTGCTAGCTCAGTCTGCACCAGATTTTTTCTTCGCTATGCCTCCATGTGAAAATAAAAATGCCCTCTCAAAAAACACACATACACAAACAAGAGATAGAAAGTTTAAAGAAACAAAAATAATTCACACTGCTAGCTCAGGTAATATTTAACCACTCCACTACCAAAAAAACTTCGTTTTTTTCTCCCCCTGCACAGCAGAGATCAGATTGCACACTGACTCGGTCAGACTTTAAATTTAGTTACCATCATGCTATGCTGTTGGAAACTCCTTTCTTCATTGGAGGATTAGCTGAGAGCAGAACTCAGCTGCATGTTTACCGAGAGCTGCTAGGAATAAAAAACACCCATCCAGGATACTTTAGTTTAAAGTGAGTGTTGATGTTTGGCCTGATTAAAAAAAACCAAACAAACAAAAAACCAAACAAAGCAGCTGTAAAACCTGACCTTGATCTAGTCTCTTTAGTGACTCTTGTACATTAGAACTGCTCCAGAAAAGCCACAGTAATTTAAGACACTAACAGACCCATCACTGTAAGGCACTCAGTGAGTACTGGGACAAAGTTTTTAGGAAGACTTTGTTTTTCTTTATCAACCCTACCACTGATCTGAAAACAACCAGTAAGAAAGTCAATAAATAAAAAATGAAAGCCAGAAGCCCATTATCACACCCACTATGCTTTCCCTTTACCAGCTTGACACTGCAAAGGACTGGAAAGAGAGCACTAAGTGAAAAAGGATGGATAGTCACAAACAGCTTGAAGGAAAGGCAGAAGATGGCAGCTTTCAGAAGGAGGTGGAAGTAACATTCTCCACGGGTAACTTTGGTAATAGGGCCAGGAACCTCTAAAATCTAGTTCTTATGCACTCAGTTACACTAAATTAATTGTTAGCATAATCCCACTAACTCAGGGATACACGAATGCTAGCACAGCACACGACCTAGGACAGGAAGAAGAAGCAGAGATGTGCTTCACTCTTTTAATACAAAGATGAAATGATCAAGTAACCAGCCTTCACTCATTTGTTCAAAGTCTAAACACTTTACTTCATGTTCCTTCTGGCATGGCTCAAACGGGAAAATGTACAAGGTGCAAACAGAAAACTCAAAGACAGGAATCCTTTCTCTCCAGTGGCAAACCCCCCTCAACAGTCTTTGGCCATTTGTTTGTACATTCTGCTTCCTTTTACCAGGTTAAAGAAGCAGACAGATTTGTACTAATGAATCCACTCATTTCCTGGCCTATCTGGGCACCTGATCACCAGACAGGTACCCTGTTACATGACCTAAGTTACACTGTCAAGTGCTTCTCCAAAGAACTCAAAAGTTATCTTCATTAAAGGAGTAACTTTAGGTGGCATCTTTAGGAGGGCTGAGAGGAAGGTAGGGAGGAAGGAGGATAGGACTTCTGTTTGCTTGTTTTTCCATTTCTCCTTTTCTGTGTTGCTGTAAATGACAATTCAACATTTTTTTCCCCCTTACACAAAAAGAGTGTATACGCTGGCTCTTACAGGGGTCAGGCACAGGTAGCCTCTGAATTCCAATAATGGAAAACCAAGAACGATACTGAGCATCAGTTCGGTTACCTACCCCCCCACCTCCCCACCCCAAAATATTTTGAAGAGTCAATCTACTCACCAATAACATTTTTACTGGAAGCAGGTAGATCAAAATCATTCTTTTGTTCTTCTGGCTTGAGCGGTGGCAGTGCTCAAATGCAAATGACAGATACTCTTCAGCT